GGTTCTTATCTTTATCTTCTCGTACATCTTAGGGTTAGCTAGTTTGCATATCTCGGCCACTTTGGGGTTCACTAGTTTACATATGTAGGCCACCTTGGGGTTGCTGATTTGCATATCACATGTTCGCAGTATGTACGTGTAACATTTTGTTATCAGTGCTCATACAGGGTAAATATGCTAAGTGACTAATATAAATATGATACTCATAACGGAGAGAGAGAGAGACAGAGGGGGAGACAGGGAGGGAGAGAGAGACAGAGAGAGAGAGAAGAGAGAGAGAGAGAGAGAGAGAGAGAGAGAGAGAGAGAGAGAGAGAGAGAAGCTGTCAAACCAGTTAGGCAACCTGTAATGATTTAGGCAAAGGCAAAGCCCTGGGGACATGGTTGCCTCCACAGTGGTGGCTGCTACCAGAGCGCTGGTAGGGCCATTGTTGTTGGAGTCTTTTGTGCAGATACAAATTTGCAGCCAAAGCTGTCAAAGGGCAAACACCTCCTTTATGCCAAGGGTGCCCTTGGCAGTTTCGTGGTCAACTTCTGAAGCCTCAACCTCCCATTTTCCAGGTGCCAACACCGAGGCCCAGGATGTGAGTAGAGCCCACAGGCAACCTCCCACCTTCCCGAGGTGGGAGGGAGCTGTGCACTGTGCAGTTAGGAGACCAAGGAGCAGGAAGTGTAGGTGTCGGGCCCACTTTCCGAGGCGCCATTTCCACCTGGCAGTGACTGAGTGGGCCCTTGTCTCTCCTGACAGTGCTGAACGGGAAGCTGTGGGCTGCTGGGGGCCTGGGTGGAATGCAGGGAGGTAGCAGCGGAGCTGCTGTCCACTCCCCCCCCCCATCACCCTGAATTGTCATCTTATTTCCCAGGAGATCTGTCTCCAGGGACCAAGCATCCTGGTGGGAAGTAGAAAAGGACGAGAAGGAGGATTACGGATGAATTACAGAAGGCCCTGGGGGACCAGCTGCAGAGGTGCTGCAGAGGGACAGACACAGCTCTGAGGGTGGTCAGAGGCCTTTGTGCTCAGAGTGCCCCATCCAGGGAGCAGGTGTGCAAATCCAGGCAAAGATTGACATTGAATGTCCTTCTCCCTCCCTTGCCTGTGGTGACAGGCTCTTGCCCACCCCTTGGGATTTCCTGTCTCCACTGCCAGTTCCCTGCTCCTGGCCTCTGCCGTCCTCTGCGGCCCCTGCTGTGGTCTCTGCAGCTGCTCTCCCCAAGAACACGCAGGGCCTACCCATTTATTTCCCAACAGTCTAGGCAGAAAGGCTTTTCATAGCACAAACCAGATCACTTCCACCCAGCCCCAAACCTTGAGGCTTCCCATTGCCTCAGGATCAGAACACATCAATGCTCTTCTTCAAGTTTCCACCCCTGCAATGACTGTGTGACCCTGGGTGCATTGCTTACCCTCTCTGATCTTCTTTGTGAAGAACAGAATCATAGTTAAATGGGGCTGGCTGAATGGGAGGTAGGGGGACCATTTCCTGAGTCAGATAAACTCTACTTTGTTGACTCCGCTCAATGTCCTCATGAGCTGTGAGTTCCAAACACCAGTTCCCAAAGAAGGAGCCTGAGACTTGAAAGCCCTCAAAACTTGCAAAGCAGGGCTGGGTGGCTGAGGTGGGCTGGGAAAACTGAATCTCTGCCATTTAGGACAAGGTTCCAGCCTTTTCCTGGGCAGCTGAGAGCTCCTGGAAGAATCCGTGACTCCACCTGGAGACACTTCAGCCAGAGGAGCTTGTCCCTAAACCAGCGTCTCATCTCGAGATATTGACAGAAGGGCCTTTGAGATCTTTATAAATTGTCCTCCATTTCTGGTGCCACCCAGGCCAGGGAGCACCTCCCTCTCCCCTTGCAATGGGGACTTTAGCCTAATTTCTGAAGACCGGGTTGGGTTCCTGCAGTGACTTGCTGGCCATCGTGAGGCCCCCTGCGTTAAGTGGGTGGATCTTCATCAGTCAACTGGTGTCTGTGCTGATGTCCAGACTGTTAGCTCTTTTAACCGCAATGAACCATGTCAAATTTTTTTTTTTTTGTCTTTTCTTTTTTGTTGCTGGGATCGAACCCAGGGCCTCGAGCATGCTAGGCAAGCGCTGTACCACGGAGCTACATCCCAGCCCCGCGATGAACCACGTCAATGACAACATTGAGCATCCCCACCATCTTAGCCTCCTGAGCAGCAAACGGGACAGAAATGTCTAAGATATCAAAAACCAGAAAGAAGAGCCCACAGCTCCAGGTCATCCAAATTCTGCTTTTGATCGGCCTGGCTTCTGATGGTGATGGAGTCAGCCGTGGCGCGGGGTCCTGGGTAAACTCTTGGCTAGCTGGATGGCTCCTTGCACACTCGCTCACGTGTGCCCTCACTCTTCACCATGGCGGCCTTACCACAGAACCGGGCAGGGTGAGGTCTGGGTGGGGAGGGGAGGAGGCAAAGTCACATTCGGGAGGGAGCTGCACACAGGACGTTGGGGTGTTCTGAAATAATATGAAAAGGTCTCACCCTAAGTACATGTTCTTCCTCCAGGCACCCACGTTTAGAACCCTCCTGATGTGCCCGTGTGGCTGGCGGTAGAGCCTGGGAGGTCCAGAGATGGACAGACCAGACTGTGACCACTGCCCAGAGTTTCCACATTCTTGTCACCATCAGAGAAAGAACTCAAAGAGAAAGTCAGGAATGGGAGGTTTTAATCCAGGGCACAAGCGCATACTTGGGTGAGCACTGGTTTCTTAAGAGTCACAGAGCTGGTGGTGTGGCTCAAGTGGTAGGGCACCTGCCTTGCAAGCAAAAAGCCCAGAGTCCAAACCCCTGGACTTTGGATAGTCTCTTATGGGCAAACTTGGAGGGGAGGAAGATTATTCCTGAGGTTGAGGTGAGGGTGAGAGGTGGGGAATTCCAGAATGGGCTGAGACTTTCCCAGACCAGAGTTCATTCTGCATTTTTATCTCTCTGTGGGATCTTTGGACATGTTCTGGTGTCAGATGCATGATGGGAGCAGGCAATTTTGCAAGGCTGACGATACAGAGGAGTCGTTATAATGAAGCAAATGGTTGGCCATGCTGTGCTATTTTTTTTTTTCTATTTTGGTACTAGAGTTTGAACTCAGGACCTTGCACTTGCTAAGCAGGCCCTCTACCACTTAAGCCACTCCCCAGCCCTTTTTGCGTGGGTTATTTAATTAAATTAATTAATTCATTCATTTTGCAGTGCTGGGGCTTGAACTCAGGGCCTACACCTTGAGCCACTCTGGCAGCCCTTTTTTGTGAAGGGTTTTTTCGAGATAGGGTCTTGTGATCTATTTGTCCTGGCTAGTTTTGAACCACGATCCTCCTGATGGCTGCCTCCTGAGTAGCTAGGATTACAGATGCAAACCACTGGCACCTGGCTACAGTGGTTATTTTTGAGATCGGGTCTCACTTTATGCCTGGACTGGCCTCCACTTCGATCCTCCTGTTTGTGCTTCCCACATAGCTGAGATGACAGGCGTGCACCTCTGTGCTCAGTCATCGGTTGAGATGGTGTCTGCCAAACTTTTTGCAGGGGCTGGCCTCAAATTTTGATCCTCCCATTTCCATCTGTCAAGAGTAGCTAGGATTACAGGCTAACCTGGTGGTCTCGTTTTCTGTGTGACCTCCTGATGTGATACAGCTCGTGTGCACCTGCATGGACCTCCAGCCACCATGCAGGGCCTCTCTGTCCCCTGTGCCTCTCTGTCCTGCCTCCCGTGGATTTAGCCCAAGGTGATTTGGGTTTTGCTGTAATTCAGGCTCTTCAAGTTGGAGAGGATCAGGGGGAGCCACAGGTCCCGCGGGGCGGGCGCACCGTACTGGGCTTCCTGAGGTTTTCAGCGAGGAGCCGAAGGCAGGTGGCCGCCGGGACCGCCATGTGGGGACGGCCGCGCGAGGCTGTGGCGTGGGGCGTCCGGCACGCGGCCGAGCTGAGTGGTTTCTCTCCCTGCCGGGACCCCATGGAGGTCACCATGGAGGCCGCCTCCTCAAAGTCGCAGGAAAGTCACGGCGGAGCACCGTCTTTCCCAGGTCGCTCCCCATCCTGGTTTCTTTGTGTTTGGCGGTGCTGGGGTTTGAACCCAGGGCCTTCACCTTCAGCCACTTCACCTTTTTTGAGATGGGTCTTGCGATCTATTTGCCCGGGCTGGTTTTAAACCGCGGTCCTCCCGATCTCTGCCTCCCGAGTAGCTGGGATTACAGGCGTGAGCCGCCGACGCCCGGCAACGCTGGAAACGGTCTGTGGTTTGGAAAAAACACGCACTTTGATGCCACATGAAGTGTAATACGTGAGCCTTCAGAACATCAGGAGTTCATACTCCAGGGTGCATAAGGACGTCACCTTTAATCCATGTCACAGTGACACGTCTGGTGGGACCCAGACCCACCAACTGGGTTCTTTGGCGAAAACGCCACCGCGCGACTCCGGAACGTTCGAGCCCGAGCCGCAGCAGGAGCAGGTAGGACCCTCTAAGGGAGCACAGCCCACCCGAGCCAGCGTCACTACAAGTCCCAGCAGCCCTAGACGCGGAGTCCGAATGGACTACAAATTCCGGCAGGCCTGTCATGGATGCGGGGACTACGAGTCCCGGGATGCGCCGCGCATCCCGCGCAGGGCACCCAGGGAAGTGTAGTCGTGGAGTGGGGTGGCGCGCCAATGCCTCAAAAAAGACTCACATTCCTCAGACGGCCCACGGGAACGACTTTTTCCGTGCTAGGAAGCACTGGGGACGCATGACTGGGAAGAAGGGGCCCCGGGAGCCAACCCTCGGCTCAGAAGGAGGATGCCTGCGCATGCTCGTCGGAGTCCGCCGGTGAAAGCGCGCGCAGGAGGTGCCGAGCGCAGGCCCCGCCCCGGCCCGCCTCCGCGCCCCGCGCCCAGGGAGCCTGCGCAGAGGGCGGGGCGCAGGCCGCGGGGAGGTGCTCGCGACGCCTGCGCAGAGCGGTGGCTTCTCTCGCGAGGACGGACGCCATTATCGCATCTCCCCGACAAACACCACGAGAATTCCGCAGCCCACACGGTAATTGCAGCTCCCGCAGCCGGTCGCGCCTCCACTCCCCCTTCCCGCGGGGCGAGAGCGAGAGCGAGATCTCCGTCCGCCCCTGCCCCGCCCCGCCGCCTACCGCCGCCAACGGCCGCCGGCCCGCACGCCGGGGCTGGGCCGGGGCCTGACGCGCCGCGGGGTCCGCCGCCCGCTCCGCTCCGCTCCGCTCCCGCCGCGCCCCGCCCGGCCCGGCCCGGCCCGCGCTCGCCTGCCCTTTCGCTCTCCGCGCGTCCCCGGGGCGGGAGGGGACCTGCCGGGCCTGCGAGCGCCGCAGGACGCGGGTCGCTGTCACCCGTGGCTGCGGGGTCGGGACGGCCCGAGTCGGCCCTCAGTGCCCCGGACCAAGGCGCGTCCGCCGCGGACTCCGGCCGCCACCTGTCCAGCCCCGCCCGCCTCGCCTGGCCGCCCGAGCGGCGGTGTCCCCGGCGTCCATGGCCGCGGCCTCTCGCACCCTGCGGCCCCCGCCCCCGGCCTGTCCTCTTTGTTTTCTGGGCCGGCTTCGCTTTGGCCCCGGGCTCCGCGGCTCGTCCTGCTCCTCCAGGAGGAGCTCGGCTGCGGGTGGACGCGCTCTGCGCGGACCCCTCCAGTCCCATCTGTTCTTCCTGTGCCCTTGCTACGCTCACTTCTGGGAGAGGATTTTAAGTTGTCTTCCAGTCCTATCTTGATTAAAAAAAAGAATTTAAGCAATCAAACTCACATTTTTCCCTTTTTAAAATTTAAACAATCACACTTCTATTTCTTTTTTTTTTTCCCCTCCCTTTGGCCGTGCTGGGTTTGGAACTCGGCTTTGCACCTTCTAGCCAGGTGCTCTCCCACTTGAACCAGCCCCTAGCTTTTTTTTTTTTGTGTGTGTGTAGTTATTTTTCAGATGGGGTCTTGTTTTGCCCAGCCTGGCCTCAAACCATGATTGCCCCAATCATCACCTCCTGAGTGGTGGGATTACAGACATGAGCCACCCCGGCCCCCACAAACTTCTGATTTCTGGGAGTGTATTTGTCTTGTACCTTTCTTACAGTAGCGATTTAAGAGTGTTGTCTCTTTGAAGCTGAGGAAAGTAATAAGGATTCTTTTCCGTTCTCTTGTTCTGATTTCTTGTGTCACTTTTTTTTTTGGAGGGGGGGGTAAGTGTTGCTTTTTTGCTTCACATGGCAGGTCTTCCAATACTGGTAATTATCACTGTAAGGCAGGAGGAGGCTGGCAGAGAGCCTGGGATCTGTGGGGCCGGTTTTGAAAATGGGTTTCTCTTCTGATGACTGGGAGCTCTTTCTTCCCATCTGGAACAGCAAGTGGAGAGACATTTTCTCTGGGCTGTTTTTAAAGAGCCCCCCCCCCCCCCCACACACACACTTGACTTGGGAACTGCTGCTCGTAGTCTCTGTGGGCCTGTGGACACAGACTTCCTGGAGCAAAGTAGGCACAGTTAAGGCTCTCCCAGGCTCTGAGCCCTACATCGGGCTCCAGGCCACTGTTTTCTTTGCCTGGATTCCATCCTCTCTTTCCATCCATGTTAGTGTGTCCCTCTTCTCTTAGGCTTGTTACAACTCAACCTTATGGGACAGGTGGAGATCACCTGTGTGGCCACTCACCTTGAGCAGGATTTCCACTGCTCTCCTGTCTCCCTTTGGCAGAGGGACAAGTGCCAAGTCACCATCTCCATGGCCACCTCCAGCTGAATGGATGATTCTTCTGGTTCTGCAGCTTTGGCAGGGTGCCAGGCTCCGCAGGGAAAGCTTGGCCGGCCACTTGTTGCAGCAACACTTGATTTGAGACTCTGCATGTGGCCTCTCTGGATCAGTGTGCCACAGTTCAGGAGTGCCTGCAGGGCAGAGATCACAGTGTCCATCGTACAGTTGGCGTGGTCCAGCCGACTGTCACACTTGCCCAATGTGTGCAATGAGTTTGGCTCCATCTGCTTACTAAGAGTGGTCCCCACAGTCCCTCAGCACTGACCAGCACCTGCACAGTCATCCTGCAACTAGGTGGCTTGCCTTTTCTTTTTTCATTACTGAGATTTGACTCAGGGCCTTATTCTAGGCAGGCACTCTGTCACTTAAGCCACAACCCTAGGTAACTTGGTCAAGTCATTTAGTTGCAGAAATATTTTAGTGAATTTCCCTGTTCCCTTCGCTTGTGTCCCCTAATATCGACATCTTAGATGATGAAATATCTATATAAAACCAGAAACCTAATATCGTGCAGCGTGTGAACTCAGTTTCAGATCTTTCAAACTCGAGTATTCGACTAATGTTTTGTTTTAGAATCCCTCACTGAATTTAGTTCTCTCACCACCTCCAATCTGTGATAATTTATGTAATCCTAATGTATCTCCCCTAGGAGGTCTACAAACCCATGGGAAAAATAGTAAAGTCTCCATGGAAAAACCCAGCAGGTACTACTGGAGGGAAGCAGAAGATCAAGGCTAATGTGACCATTAAGACATGGATGTCAAAGACATCACTTTGGTGGTGTTGCCAGGAACGCAGTCTTATCACAAAAGATTAGACCAGATTGACATAAATCCTGACCAGTGTCCTCACAATATTCAGAAAGACAGGGAATCTGCATGCAGCAAGACAGCAGGTGAGGAGGACTTCTGTGAGGGAATGAACAACTGCAAGCCTTGTTGTGGGGGCTGGTGAATCGGTGCTTAAGAGAACTAGGGTTCCAGGCACAGGTTCTTGAGGAGTCTGCAGCAATGGTTTTATCTGTACTGTGCAGGAGTTGTCATCTAACAATTCAAATTCCCTAAGCTTGAGGTGAACAATGAAGCAAATTACATGACAATGCAAGGCTGACTTTAAAATGACTTTAAAAGTACCACTTCAGGCATTTGTAGCTGGAAAAAGTACACATTTTCTTTGGAAGACTTGTAGGGTAGATTACATATTGAGAGTCCTAACAACAATGTCTCAAAAGCTTTTAGAAAGTCCTCATACCTGTGGTAGGTGAGGTCTTTGTTGTTCTTTTTACATGTAATATGTCTTCAAATGCCTATAGTCAGGAATTCTCAACAGAATTGCTGTAAACCCTTCTCAAAGGTCCCGTTGGCAGTGTGGGGAGGAGTTTTAGGAATTTTAGGGAGCTTTAGAGCAAGTGTTGGAGAAGTCACAGGGCTGCAATTTGCTGTTTGTCACCAGCACCTGGAACTCATTTAGTCCCTGGCAGACCTCTAGAACAGCGCATCAGCGCCTTTCCCTGCCCAGCTTGTCAGGCAGCTGCTCTGCAGTGAAATACAGACACTTAGTGCCATGTCCTGGTCTCATCTTTGCCTCTCTAGGCCTTGCTTTTGCCCTGGTCTGTTGCACAGGCTCTGCCCTGTTCACCCCTCTGTCCTCAGTTCTATAGGGCACAGATACAGAAACACTCATCAGCCCCCTTGCCTCCACCCTGGTGCTGTTCTGTGTTGTTGGAGCCAGTCTTAGAGCAGAGCCTGGAGCCTGCACTCCATTCCAGTGGAGCAGCCAGTGCTTCTATAGCTTGGAGCCGGGATGTTCTCAAAATATGGGGACCTTGACTGCGCAAGCCACAAACAGATTATATGAAATATCGTGAAGTCACCTGAAGTTGATTCTTTTTGAATGAACTCCTCTGCAGCTTTTACATCTATACACTCAAGAACTGTCCAGCTGTCCATTGGTCCCCCAGGGTGGATGGACAATGAGATTGGTGTCCTCTCCTTAGGTGTCTTCTCCTTCTCATGTTGGGGAAGAGGGATGGTGGGGTGCCCCACAATGGGAACCTGCAAAGTTGATTGTTACAATGATGAGCTGTGGAGGAAAAAAGTTGGCAGAAAAGGGCAGAAAAAGTTGGCAGGTGGAATGGAATGTGTATGTGAAAACTGACCAGATCTCCTTGCTCTCAGGTGTTCTGCAGTAACAGTTAAAAACTGTTGAGGATAAATGCACAGAAAATGTGTGGGCGGGAAAGGTGGCAAGCCTTCGGCAGGTCCTGTACTGACAAATCTTTTAGGAGTACAAACTTAACGTTCAGTGTCTCAGAGGATGCTGCTGTGATTTTTTTCCTTTTCTCAAGAGGGAGAGTCATCAACTGACTTGGATAAAGCTGGATATGAGACCTTGGCATGGATACTGCTGGCGTGTCTTTGCTGGTATGAGCTATATTTCCTTTGAACTTGGATTAAGCCCAAGGCATCTTAATCAAGACCCAGGGAAGGAATTAGGCTACAGCCCCTGCTGTCATCATGAAATCTAGCCTGCTAAGTTCCAGGGCCCTGGGCCAGTAGAATGGGACAGTTTGGCTGCCACAAAGCCCGTCCTCTGAGGTTGGCTCATTCATTGATGGGGACCAGAGATGGACCTTGCAGACGGAGTGCCACTGCTGCCAGGCTGCATTCTACACTTTGAAGGCTTCCCTGAAGACCTCAAGTAGCTCACAACCCTGGGATTTTAGAATGAATCTGACAAGTCTGAGCTGTCCCTTTTACCAGCTGAAAGTTTTTGCTGTCAGTGGTCATACAGCTTTGCAATTATAGTCACAGGCTGCACAAGGACATTCAGCCAATGATGGACTAGTATATGGTGGTGGTCTAATGAGATGACAGTGCCTGAGACCCAGAAGCTATCTCAGCTGGTGTAGGCATACCCTGTGATGTTGCTAAGCAACGCCTGATTGTAATTGGCCTTCCAGTTTTGAGATTAAACATTTCATGGTTTTAAAGATTTGTAGGATTCAAGTGATTTCATGTTGCATCATATATGTATCTATAATGTAGTCTTTAAAAATTCCATAGTAAGATAATTCAGATTTCTTTAAAATGCTGTCCTCCCACGTGAGGAGGAGGCAGGAAGCTGGAGTGAAGCAAGGTGACAGCAGGTGGACACTGCTCGGGGCTCCCTCAACAGTGCAAATGCTGAGCAAATTCTGCCTGACTTGCCTCATGAGTTCTCCTGGGACCAGGACCGTGTGAGAGTGCAGTTAGTCTGCTTCATTGCCTTAGTGGGATTTCTATTGAGGCA